ATTAAAGGTATAATGTAGGATCTAAAAGTGCCTAAAACTGACATCCTATGCTCATGATGTGTCATACCCAATAAAACAAATCAGTTTGACCAAACTAAATCAGTATTTAAAGGTAATATCTAAAAATGAGTTATGAAAAGAGGAAAAGAGGGGAATAGTGATTTACTTTTCAAATCTTCAATTAGTTCAATGATGTATTCCAAGTGAGGGGACCCCAAACTTAAAATTATTTAATATGGAATGAAAATTAATGACAATTCAGAAAACCTTGAGTTAACAGTCAAATCTATTATTTAACAGCTATATGATTTGGGGAGATGTTCCTTAAATCTTTGAAGCTCACTTTATTCACTTATAAAAAGGGAATAATACTCAGTCCCTAAGAGTTATTATCAAGCTTCTATGATATAACACATGTCAAATACAGACATTCAAGAGATGCACACCCTTTTGTGCCCACCTCCTTTTCTAGGGTTTTGGAAGATTACACTGTGTCCACTTCGTAATCATGCCACTTTCACTCTCAATTTTTCAGCACGGATCATTGAGTATTAAAGCAGTACCTAGCAAGCAGTAATATGTCTTAATATATGTGTTGACCAAATAAAAGGATTAATAATGGAATGAGTATCAGGGTAGGTGAATAAAAATATTAAGAAGTCATGTATCCATCCCTTAATTAACTTAAAAAGGAAAATGCACAGGAGTACAGAGATAGTTACTAACATACTGAAGAAATAAAAAGTGAAAACTTACTCCCTGCTCCATATCTAGTGTCAAAAGAGAGACATAAATTTATACTTGTCATTCACTTTGGAAGTGCTAGTATGGAGATACTGAGATCAGTGCTAAGGAAGTATAGAGAAAGGAAAAAAAACAATAACTGCTTGAGAGAGTCAGACAAGACTTCCCAGAGGAAGTAAAATTTGAACAAGAGAGAAGGGCATTTTTAGAAGCAAAATAAAAAAAAGATTTGATCTATAGACTATGCCAAAGCATTCTGGAAAACTTTAAATCCCTTTGAACTTTTTGAAATACTGTAAATATTATACAAATTCAAGGAAAACTTGTAAAAATGTACTGAGTGAATCATTCCACTGACTGTAATAAAAAACAAATAATCAATATTTTTTTCTAATTTGTCTCATAAAAATTCTTAATGACTATCTTCTTCTACATTCTAATATAGTTGTATGTCATTTTTACATAATTTTCCTTTGGTCAGTTTTGACATAAGAGTAAAAACACTACTGTATTTCTATGCCTTTTATCCTGGGACTAGTGGCCAATTCAATTTTATAATATATTTAAAGTATCCAAAAGTCAAAATGTGTGGCAATTTCCACCTTTCCAATTCTATTTTAAATCCATGGCCTATTACCAGGCCAAGAACCCCAAAATCAGAAAAAGCAATCCTTAGGGATCAAAATTTGCCAAATCTTATAATTTAGAAAGAAACTGTTAGAGATGGTTGGGGAGTTTTGGCACTGAGAGTTTAAGGCATTCCATCATAGGGTTTATATTTCATCTAATCAGCAAGTCGGAAACTATAAAAGTCTTGGGTTGGGGGAGAATTAAAATTTTTGGATTGTAGTATGCGAGTGTTTCCTTCCCTTCCATATGGTTTGGTAAATTAAAACTTTTAAATCTTTTTTTTAAGGCCTTCTGAAAAGAATAAAGCAGCCTTTAAAAATCATATTTTTGGTACAGGAAACTTAAAATATTCAGGCTTAAAAATTTGAAAAAAGGTCACATGGTTTCTGTATCCACTGTCATGGTCTAAGCATATTCCAAATTATGTACATTTAAGCTTAAGTATTTTTTCTTTTCTTTTTTTGAAGGGGTGAATTAGGCATCCAAAACTTTTATAGCTGTTTTTTGAAGGTGGTCTTTATCAATCTAATTTAAAATGTTTCCACTTGAATTCCATAAGCACATCACAGACAGCAGCTAGGGCAAGAGGTATATGGATCCCATATTTATGTGGAGTTGTATAAATTGTCATTCTATCAGGATAGAAACTGGAAAAAATTTTCATAAGGTGAAACAACTTTTTTCTATGTCAAACTACACATAGTATAATGCTGTAAATGACAGAAATAGCAACTATATCCTTCAACTTTGAGTTATGTTCTCCTTTCCTTCCTCTGTTGGACCCCATACTGACTTCTTTCCTAAGTTCTTCTTTCAAATTTTTGATCTCCTCATATTTTGTTTGCATGTAAGATTTCTTCACCTTCCTTCTCCTATCCTCCCAATGAACACTGTTTTGCTATCATATTAATTTCTAAAAGTTCTTGTTTTCATCTAGTATTTTTTTCAAGATATCCTGCTTCATAAAATGCTGTTTGTCACCATCTCTTTCTAAGGATTATTATTCTTGTAAAGGATTCCTCTGTTTCTTTAGTTTTCCTCCTCCTAATATATTGCTTCAGCTGCAACCTTTCACATTTGAGGCTTTCCTGGTGTGATGGGCAATCCTTGGTTGCTCATTGATATTTAAGAATGTATGAGTTAGAGCTGAATCAAGTTCCCAGGGCATAGATGGGCTTTCTAGAGGGGACAGACTCAACTCATGTATGTGTGGTTTGGGAGACAGTCATTTATAGAGGACCTCCAAACTCAGGTATTTGAAAATCTTTTCTCTACCATACTTTAGTTTCTCTAGTACAGAATTCAACAATTTCTGGGGAGGTAAGGTAGTTGGGAGAAGGGGAAGAGACTCTACAATGCTGGAAGTCTACATAGGGTAGGGGACTGGTATTAGGATCTGATAGTCCATTGAAGGGCCTTCAATCAATCCTCTTTGCACTCTCTTCTTAATTCCACCCTTAACTGTGCAAGCTGTTCCCAAGTCTTGGACCTGTCTCATTCACTTGCTCTATCCTTATGAACCTCTTTCCCCTGCCCTGGAGGTGGGTGCCCAGTTGCTGGCATTTGGGTACACAGGGAGAGATCTTAGTGTTCCATTCCTTGGTTTCAACTGATAAGCCCTTTTTATATCCCTTACCTCACTCTTTTCTATGCCAGCTGCCTCCATGTCTTGAGTCTCTCTAGGTTTCTTTGGAGTAAGTCAGACTTCCTTTCATAGTTATCTCATTCTAAAATTCCTTTAGATTGTCCTTTCCTACGCTCTGACAAGTCAATTTTAACACTTCCAACTGCTCACTTCCCAAAATCAGTTTAAATATCTTATGCATTCAATTCTCCTATTCTGATTATCCCTGTGTATTCCTTCTTAGTATTTATTCACTAAAAACTTTCTGAATTACCCACATGATCACCAATTTCTTTGTCCATCAATATTTTTGCACCTCCCTCCATCATTCTTTCTAGATTTGTGTTCTTTTGCAGAATGTCTTCAGCAGTTTCTTAAGCAAGGGTTTTTAAGTTAACCATGTTTATTTAATTTCTTGGGCTAGGAATTTTTTAATCATGTAGGTAAATTCAAAACCCAAAACTCGGTAAAGGGAGGACAGTAACAACAAATTCCCAGCAGAAGACTTCATTCTCCATCCAGGTCCTACTCTGAGACAGGTAAACGTTCATGCTGCCTTCTTGTTCTAGTGCGCAAACTTACTTTGTTATCCTTTCACTGAGAGTATGAATTTTCCCTGCTTTATTTAGGCATCTAATTCCTGGCCTTTCATTGGGCCAAAGATGCTTCTCCAGAAAGGAAGAAACAAATAAAAGCCCCCTTCCCACTGGTTTCCACAACTGATAGATGACCCCCAAAAGAGCTGTAGGATCAGCCTACTGTTTACAGTTCTGGTATTCAGCTACCACCTTCATTTCTAGCTCCTGGGAAACTCTTACTATTTTTGGAGTTCAGCTAAGCATTAAAAGCATGTCCAGTATTCATTTATTTTTTATTACTATTGAAGAGAGATCAAGTGGTAATAACTAAAATAACACTTAAATATTAGATTCAGACTAGGATTAAAGCCTAGTTCTACCACTTATTAGCTATGGAAGATCAGAAAATTTACTTAAATTTTTAAACCATTCTCCACTGCGTAAAATAAAGATATTAATATTACTTTGAATTAAAATTATCAATTTTATAGTTCATAATGGTATAATCTTAGCAATTTCTTATGCTTCAGACTAACAGCACCTTCATAGAACTGTGACTTCCAAGAGTGCTTGTCAACCTGGATGGAACTGGAGACCATTCTTCTAAGTAGAGTATTACATGAATGGAAAAACAAACATATGTACTCACCATTAAGTTGGCACTAATCAATCAACACTTATGTGTACATACGGAAATAACATTCATTGGAAATCAAGCATGTGGGAGGCAGGAGGAGGGAATGGGTAAATTCACACCTAATGGATATATTGCACGCTAACTGGTGACGGGCACACTTGTAATGTTGACTCAAACTGTACAAAAGCAATTTATGTAACCAAAATGTTTGCACCCCTGTAATATTCTGAAATAATAATAATAAAAAGAATACTTGTTACATAGTGAGTAGTCAAATGATGGCTCTGCTTCTCTTATAGAATGATTTCAACTAGAGGAAATTCCAATCAATATATACCAAGTTTTCTGTTTTCAGCTATTTGAAAGAATCAGATTTAGTTCCAATCATAGCCAAATTGGGGCTGACACTTGTTTGTAGTACATAATATTTATGCAAACATTAATATTAGGACAAATCCATTGTGTAATTGCATATTTGGTGTTTTCCATTTATATGTTTCTATTAAGTTACATCAAGGATCATAATATCAAGACACTAAGTAAAGAGCCTTATGCAGGGGCTATGATCCTTGATGTAACTTAATGATGTAACTTATCTAGGCCAAACAGCACAGGCAATGTAATACATTTTTCTATATTTTCTGCACAGGGTTCTAACTTTGTATCATATCATTATAACTTAACAACATGAGTTAGCTGGCTGAGAAACAGTACCTCAAACCCCATCTACCTCAGTCCACATGGAAAAAACTAAATTCTAAAAAGTGCAGAAGGTAGTTCTACTCACTGTTAGAGCTAGCAGTTTCCCATAGGTGAGATGAGCAGGGATGTGGTCAGTCTTGGACCTCAGAGATTCCATATACCAATGCTCAGCCTCAGGGAGCTTGCTTAATCGCATATATGCTTCACCTGGAAAGAAGATCGAGACAACCAAACCAAAAATAAAGCATTTGCAACAGCATTACCATCATGTTTACATCCCTTGGAAATTCAGATGCTGTGTCAAGTACTTTCATTTATTTCCTCATCTGACTGCCAGGGAAGTCATCATGATTTCCATTTTACAGAATGAAAAATCTTGTTTAAAAAATTAAGTTAAATAGCTAAAGCCAAAAAATTAAGTAGTAAAGCTTTGATTTTTAACCTAGGAACATATGATTCCCAAGCATGTTTTACATCATCTTTTTTTCCCTTGGAGATAAGTTTATTCTTTCTACTGTATAATCATTTGGTATTTTCTGTTCACATTCATCTATTCATTTAGAAATGCAAGAATTTATAGAATACTAAGTGGCTAACCTCATGCAGGGACTACATAGAAAAGTGTAAGATCCTATCCCTTTAAGGTCTTACAACTTTGTTGAGAAAGTAAGATTGAAAGAATAAAAAATATTTTTAGATTTTAATTTTTTCAGAAGTTATTTGCATTTTTATATTAATAAAATTTACCAGTTTCATTTGAAAATTCAATAAATATGTGACAATTATCAAGCCTGCCCAGCACTATGTGCAAAGCTAGTCTAAGGCCTTCTAGCCATTATTCAAAACTTTCAATCTCAGTTTTAGCTACCAAACACCATTTAACTATAGCCAAGTAGGAGAAAAAAGTTGAAAAGCTGAAAGTATATCAGTTGCCTGTTTATTATCATTTCCTTCTCCCTTGTATGATTATGATGTTGAAGAATATTTAACTGATGGCAAAAATTATACTTTTAGATAATTTGTATAATTAAATTCAATACTGTAGTTTAATAAGTATTGCAAATGTAGATGCTACTCAGTTTCTGAGACCAGGCAACAGACTGGTAACTTAACTGTTTTCCAAACAGGCCTTACTTGCTTGATTAATCATAATTATGATAGCTTTTCCCTTTGAAGGCATAATCAGAGGCTTTTCCTAAATGTATTACCCACATTGGATGTATATTTTTGTTTCAAAGGAAGAACTCTCTCTGTTTTGTTTTAATCATATTTATTTTGTGTTAATACAGTACTGTGAATACAAATATGTTTGATAAATTGAATTGGCTAGAGTCTCCTGATCTTTAGAATGCCCTTTGCTTGGCTGGTTAGTAAAAAACATTGCTGTAAAATATGTAATATGCACAAAAATATGTCTCCACTTATATGTTTCTAGTCCTATGAACAACAGTCTTTATAATATCACAAAAATGATAGGTGAAAAATGTTTGATTTCTTTTTCCTCGAAGTTTAAAACATGTTTACATTTAGCAAGTTGGTTCAATTAAATCACTTGTTTAGGGGAAGATACAAGAAATACTGAAGGAAAGACCAAAGAGTGGAATGGAATACAGAGAAATGCTTGCAGTTGTTAAAATGATAGATTGGGAATAGATTTTTTAAATTTTCATAAATTTCTGTAATAATTACGTTTTTTTTGTTTGTTTGTTTTGTTTTTTTATTTTTTTTTTTTTGAGACAGAGTCTTACTTTGTTGTCCAGGCTAGAGTGAGTGCCGTGGCGTCAGCCTAGCTCACAGCAACCTCAAACTCCTGGGCTCGAGTGATCCTTCTGCCTCAGCCTCCCGAGTAACTGGGACTACAGGCATGTGCCACTATGCCCGGCTAATTTTTTATATATAGATATCAGTTGGCCAATTAATTTCTTTCTGTTTATAGTAGAGACGGGGTCTCGCTCTTGCTCAGGCTGGTTTCGAACTCCTGACCTTGAGCAATCCGCCCGCCTCGGCCTCCCAAGAGCTAGGATTACAGGCGTGAGCCACAGCGCCCGGCCATAATTACGTTTTTAATTTTAATACCTCTATAAAAACTAGAACACTGTCAAATGGATTTTTTGACATGTTGAACTAATGAATGTTTCCAAATAAAGCAAATAGTAAGTTTTCTTAGGAAAAGTAAACCACTTCTTCACACTAAAACGAGATATGATATACTGTGTTTCCCCGAAAATAAGACAGGGTCTTATATTTATTTTTCCTCAAGAAGACACCCTAGGGCTTATTTTCAGGTGATGTGTTATTTTCCCCTCAAAGCCTCAGCTTGCAGCACGCACAGAATGGCCACGACCTGATGGGGGTAGTGGACCTTGTTGGTGGGGCTGCCCGCACCTTTCAGGGCACCTCTGGGATAGTAGCTGTCACAATGGGGCAGATGAGAAGGGCTGCTCATCTTCTTTACCACTCTGCGATGAAATGCACGGGCTGTGCAGACATGCTACATAGCCACGCCCATCACTAGGTCTTATTTTCGGGGTAGGGCTTATATTGAGCAAATGCTTAGAAATCCTGCTAGGGTTTATTTCATGGGTAGGTCTTATTTTCGGGGAAACACGGTATATAACAGAAAAGATGCACAAGCACTAAAGTAATGAAAATTCTAAAAGAATTAATGATAAATTTTATCTAAATACTGATCTCTAAAATGGCTTACAAAGCCACACGGAAGACAGGCCTGAGTTCTGGTTCCATATGGAATCAACCTGAAATTCTACCTTGGCTTTTCAAAGTGCTCAAAGTTTTTGAAAGGTGTATAAACCTTGCTTTTAATATAGCTTCTATTTTTCATTCATAAAAATTTAACTAATTTTTAAAATAACAATAGGTTTTCTGTACAGAGAAAGAGTATGACAGAATTCTTTACTAGAGTGTTTTTGAAATTTAAATCTTTGTAATGTTTAAGTTTGTTAGGATCTAAAAATCATTTCAGAAAGTGCGCCACCTTTTTCTCAAGTCAGAAATCTATTATTAAAATCTACTTTGAAACGAAACATTATTAATTTGCTAAATATTTAATGGCTGGTCCATTTTCTTTAGTAAGAACTCATAAGCAACTTGTTATAATAATTTGTAAAGCTTGTGAGATAGGAAATATTAAAGGTCTGTAAGTAATGTATCATAATCATGCATCTTGGCAAGTATATGAAAACTGATACTTAGGTACTATTCATTATAAGTTGGAAAAACTTCATGTCACCATTCACTGTATCTCAACAATAACAATCATTCATTGACTTTTTACTATGAATTAGGGGAGCAAGCTACAGGAAGCAAATGTCTGACTTAAGCTCACACACTCCTCTTATTCTTACGCATTTAGGCATGTAGATTTTTTTCTCAGCCTCTCAAGGAGCCTTAACACGTTACCCCACATAACTACTACAAACTGTTCGTAGTAGGTTTACAAGATGAAAAAAATTTTCTCTATTAGCTGCTTTCTAAATGTATCTCATTGCTTTTTAAAGGAATGTCACTACCTGGATTTTACAGATGAAAAAACTGAGGAGCAGAGGGGCTAAGCAACAAAATCATAAAATATATAAAGTGGTAAAGCTGCAATTTAAACTCAGGACTACCTGATCTCAACACATTGCCTTAACCAGCAGGTAGAGAATAATCATAAACTTTCCAACTCCTCAGCTCAGGTGAGAATTATACTCCTTCTTTCTTTCTGTCTCTCTTTCTCATAGAAAATTGTTTTCTAGCTTTTGATACATTGGCCAGCAGGTTCATCTCACTTTGCCTTGGGCTTATCTATTGAATTAAAAGAGTAAAGAAGATCAATGATAATCCATGACTGGCCTTTAAAAAGGCTTCCCACACAGACATGATTCAATTCTTAAGAGGGAAATATGTGACACAGAAGATGCACTTTAGTTCTAAAGTTAACCTTAACACAATAAGGGTCTATGAAAGCAAGATGCAAAACCTAAAATGCGTGAAAATGATCATGGATAAATACAAATATGTTAAAAGGGCAACTCAAAGATTTAAGCAACAAACAATACAAGAACAACAAATAGTTGTTAGATCGATCTTTGGCACTGGAAAGGTAAGAGCTTTATATTTCTCATTTCTAATCCACAGTAAGGATTATAATACCCCTTTTATGGATAAGGAGGAAGACTCCAGAATGACAAGTGACTTGCACAAGGACAGTTAATAATCCTATCCTAAAAGGACTGAATGGCTCCAAAGCCATTGCAGCAAGCTGCCTTCTAAATAAAGTTTATTATTTATTGAATACCTACTAACATCTTAAAGATATTATCTTTGTACCTTTACATTATCCCTACACTATATCATTCTCATTTTACAAATGAAATAACTGTGGCTCCCTGGGCAAAATTAACTTACTCAAGATAAAAAACAAGCAAATACCAAATGGATTCAGATTAGAGTTTTCTCTGGCTCTTTGAACTACATCATTTTACCCAAATAATATCAAAAATAATCAGAGAGGAGATAAAATAACTGTAAAATTGCCATCAGTAGATTTAGTTTTAGAAGAGAATGGTATATATGCAATCCTTCAAGCTTGATTAAAATATTAAAATCATAAAAATTCCCATAAAGGAAATGGCCACAGGAAAAGAAAGTTCAGTAAATTCAATAAGGAAGGAAATAAAGATACTTAGGAATAGGGTGAGGGGATGAAGGTTAAGTCATGTTCTCTGGTACTATAATTTTTCTTAACTTACAATAAAAGAAAAAAAATGTCTGTGATGCCCAAGAGGAAAGAAGTAATGATGACTATTTTTCCTTCTCATCCTGCAAAAAAATGACATAATAGAAGCACTTTCATAAGAATGAGAAGATTTGCTGTGCAATGATGTAGCGATCAGGTTCATCACCCAGATTTATTTTCGATTCACTCACAGACAAAAGGGATTTGGATGTCTCTAGGCTGGCTTCAGGCAGATATAAACCAGTTTCAGATGTAGAACAAATAATGTCACTCTTCCCCTCTAAAAAGCCCCAGGTCTAAATAACCCAGGCAAAGGCTAACTGCTTAAGGAAAGAATGCCGGGTTATTGATGATGTAATAGTCTAGATCTCACTGATTCTTATGTTTCAAATTACTGGACAGCTCCTGCTTGCAGATAAAGAATAGAGCATGTAGTAGGAAATACTAAGACTCAGTACAGAATTCC